GTCTTAATTCCAGTAACTTAGTCTAGTCCGAGTTGCTCCCCACACCAGGTGCCACCTTGGGGCAGTGCTAGTCTTTCCCCTGGAACCTTTTTCCATGTAGTGGGCCCTAAAATCCACCTGCTGCTCCTTCTCTCCCCTGACCCTGCTGTGGCCTCCTGGAGATGCAGGTTCACAAAAGTGGACACAGATCCATCCGGGTGAGAGCTGTGGGAGCACAGCCCTGCCCTCTGATGGCACTGGGACCCTTCACCTGGCCTGGTCACCTACTGCTCTATCCGTCTCCAGTCCCGTCCTGGAATCAAGCCAGATCTGGGTATTGTCTCCTAACAAACCCGAAAGGTCACGCCCAGCCCCTGGTCTGGGCAGTCGAGTCCCATGGGCCCTGTCCAGCCGGCTCGGCCTCTCCAGTGGTCGATGTGACATCCTGTGTCGGGCCCCCCGGGTAAGCAGGTCCTCCCCACAGGTCTCTGACTCAGACCTGCATGCTGGCTGCTGGGGTAGGGGAGGCTGTCCCTTAGCTGTCACTGTCCGGGACCCAGAGTAGGATGGTTCTGAATCCGTTTCACTGACAAGGCATCCGCTCACCGGGCTCCTGGTCCCACCTGGGACCAACTGAATCAAGGTGTCGCCCACGCTGGAGCCCTGTGGCTTGCTCCTGGAGCTGCTCCCTGGGGCAGCTGGTCCATTCTCTCACTCATTCAGCAGCTGTCTCCGGCCTCTGCGGGGCCGTCCAGCCGTGTGTCTTCCCCTCGGTCTGCAGGGTCTCCGTGCAGCCTGGCTAACCAGGCTGTGCGTCCGGCAGTGTGCTGGCAGCGGTGGGGTTTTCGGGAACCCTCTGCCAGCAGGCTTGTGTTCTGGGTGTGAGGGAGACGATTACAGTGTCTCAGCAGGTTCTGCTTTCCAGTGAGTAAGGGGTTAATTGTGGCTGCTTCCTGCACTCTGGACAGGAATCCCAACCCCACTCTCCCTTCCTTCTGCTTCCGGGGACTCTGCCTCCCTCCACCCAGCGGAGCCATCTTGAGTTGACGTCACCACCTGCAGCCAGCACTGGGTGCTCAGGGACCGAGCCTGCCACCCCTCCCCCACTGTGCTGCCTCGCCACCCTCAGCGTGATCTGGATCTCACTCTTATCTGTGATCACACCGCAGTTAAGGATTCCACTCTTGGGGCTAGCACTGCGGCGTAGAGGGTTAAGCCTCCGCTTGTAGTGCCGGTGTCCCAAATGGGTGCCAGGTTGAGTCCTGGCTGCTCCACTTCTGATCCAGCTCCCTGCTAATGGCCTGGGAAAGCAGTGGAGGACGGCCCTAGTGCTTGGGCCCCTGCACCCACGTGGGAGACCCAGAAGAGGCTCCTGGCTCCTGGCTTTGGCCTGGCCCAGCCCCAGCTGTTGCAGCCATTCGGGGAGTGAGCCAGGGATAGAAGATCTCTCTCTATAACTCTGCCTTTCAAATAAAGTAAATAAACCTTAAAAAAAAATCCACCTTGGAATCTCAGTGTCACAGGCCTGGACGTAGAGGCAGTGTAGGCTGGTGCAGGGCCTGTTCCATGCCCACCCAAGCCAGACTTAGCCTCTGTTCTAGGAAGGGCCTGCTTGGGTCAGGCCCTCAGGCCCTCAGTGAACAGACCCCAGCCCTCCTGGAGCTGGCCCTGTAGCCCAGCTCACTCCGCGTGGGTGCCCGAGCCCTGCCTGGCCCCGGGGCCCCCAGTGAGACAGCTGCGGGTCTCAGGGTCTGCTTCCCTGCTGCCAGGAGTCCTTGTTTTTCCACGTTCCTGTCCATTTCGTCCTCCATCTCCTGATGCTGGACTTCAACGTCCCCTTCCTTCTTCATTTTTTCCCTCAAAAAATCGAGCTTATCTCTGTCTCATTTGGTCTCAGAAGGACCCTGCTTGTGGCTGTGTGTGCTGGTGACGTCTCCACCTGACAGGAGAGCCACACCTGGACCACCTTCTGCCATCAGTCTCCAGAGCACTCTGGTTAAAACGGTGCCCCCCACCCCGGTGCTGTGGCATAGCGGGTGAAGCCGCCGCCTGCAGTGCTGACATCCCCTATGGGCACGTGTTCGAGTCCCGGCTGCTCCACTTCCAATCCAGCTCCCTGCTAATGCTCTTGGGAAGGCAGCAGATGGCTCAAGTGCTGGGCCCCTGCGCCCACACGGGGGACCCAGAAGAGTCTCCTGGCTTGCGGTCATTTGGGAACTGGGCTGGCAGATGGAAGAGTCTCTCTCTCTCTCTCCCTCTCCCTCTCCCTCTCCTTCACTGCTTCTTTGTAACTCTTTCAAATAACGTTTAAAAATCTTAAAAATAAATAAATAAATAAAAAGCTGCTACCCCACCACCACCACCCCCCCCCTCCCCGCGCCAACACGGGCACCCTTTCTGCTGGAGCCGTCCCAAACCCTGCTCCATTAACCCATCACCGGCACTCTGGGGCTGCGTCAGCGCCGTGTCACGGATGCTGTCAACCTCTCGGGGCACAGGCGGCTACCCCGACAGCGCGGCATGCCTCAGGGGCTGCGTGAGCGTCTGTGCCACTCCAGCAAGTTCACTCTTGGTGGGAAATGCCTCTGGAGTCCACTTGGTCACCCTGGTGCTCTGTCCAGCTTTGTCACAGTTCCGTGTTTGCATGAGGCCTGCAAGAACCCAGCCTGTGGACTCTCACCCTCTAAGCTCCTTAAATGCTTGCATGATCCGTGCACACGCATGGTACACACACATGAATACATGCACAGATTTACATGCATCACACATGAACATGACACCAGGTGAAGTCAGCGTGGTCCTGTGGCTCCGGGCCCCTGTGCACGCTGGGCGTGTGGCGCCCTGTCCTCGGATCCACCCGTGGCCTCCTGAGCCGCGTGTGGTTCTCACTCTGTGTCTCCTGGGTTTCCTCTGAGATGCTCCGTTTCTCTTTGCTTTTCTGCTCATCCTGCTTCAGACCCCGATCTCCCGGTGAGTCCCCCAGCCACATGACGGCTGCATTCCCGAGGGACCACACGGCTCGTCCCGTTGCCCTGTCACTCCCGTGGGTGGGCACTGTTGCTGCCTCTCCTCACAGGTGCAGAACCCAAGGCTAGGCAGGGGCATCTGCCTGCCTGGTACGAGGCAGCCAAGCGTGGGGTGGGCACCCACGCGTGGAGGCCACGGGACCAATATTTCCTCGTTCGCGTCGGGGAGAAAGCCTGGTTCTCCTGTCTTTTCCTCTGCGGGAATCTTTCCCAGCATTCCACTGTGTGCCAGGAGCCCCTGCTTGAAAACCGAGGCTGAGCAGACGGGACACGCCCCACCTCGGAAGGTGCTTCTAGGAAAGCAGCCGTGGCCAGCTCTCACCTGTCCTCGTCACCACGCCCACCGGACATTTAGCAGGGTTCTCTCTTACTCCGTAGAAAAGACTTGGTCTAGAAACATAATTTTTTTAATCAGGTACATTACATCACAGCTTTGTTTGTTTTTAAAGCTTTTTATTAAGGGAACGCTCAGATAGCCACAGAAATGGAGAGGAGAGAAAATCAAGTGTCAACGCCTGACCATTCTTTTTTTTTTTTTTTTTGAAGATTTATTTATTTGAAAGAGCTACACAGAGAGAGAGGAGAGGCAGAGAGAGAGAGAGAGAGAGGGGTCTGCCATCTGCTGGTTCATTCCCCAGATGGCCGCAATGGCCAGAGCTGCACCAATCCGAAGCCAGGAGCCAGGAGCTTCTTCCGGGTCTCCCACACGGGCACAGGGACCCAAGGACTTGGGCCATCTTCTGCTGCTTTCCCAGGCCATAGCAGAGAGCTGGATTGGAAGTGGAGCAGCCAGGACTTGAACTGGCGCCCATATGGGTTGCCCTACTACAGGCGGCAGCTTCACCTGCTACGCCACAGCTCTGGCCCCTGACCATTCTTGTCTAGTATTTTGAAGCAAATCTCACACCTCCTAACTGGAAGATAACTGTACTTCCGACGTCCATCATACCAGAATCAGAGCCTCCCAAAGAGGCCACAAAGCTGTGCTCAGACTCTCGGCCTATGTCCGTTTCCCCTTCTTCAGTTGTGTGATTGGAACACAAGCAAGACACGCGTGGCACCCGCGGTTGGTGTGGGGACAGAGCCCTCGGGGCAGGGGGCCCCCACCAGCCCTCTCCCTTCCCGGTGTCCCCTGCTGGGCTCCGTAGGCGTCTGAGTCTGTGGCTCCTGCCCGGGACCCTGTGAGGTGAACCTGCCTTTCACGGGGCAGGGGCTCTGTCTTTTGGTCTCTCTCTGAATCTTTAGAAATCATTTAAGGGGAGTGCATGTAACTTTCTAAACTTGGTAGTCGCTATTACGTTGTCAATACCGCTTTTGCAGGTTGAATGTTGGCAGTGTAGTTAAACCTAATCCAAGGTATAGTTTACATTTTTGCTGGAGTGGACACACGTGGAGTAATGATACCGCGGCCCTCAGCGTCCGGCTGCTCTCTCTGTGTGATGTCCTGGCGGTGCCATTCCGCGTTGTGGATCACACCGCGTCTTCTTCCACGCCTCTGCGGTGGGCACCTGGCTTGTTCCCGTCCGTTGGCCGTGGCGGCAACACTGCTGTGATGTGTCTACAAGTTTCTGTGTGAACATACTTGTTTCTCTTTCTCAGGCGTCTGTCTAGAAATGGAGTCGTCGGGCCATATGCTTCCTCCGTGCTTAGCCTTTTGAGAAGCTCCTGCTGCCAAAACGGTGGCACCATTTCCCTTCCCGCCCGGGGTGGGTGTGGCTTCTGACTGCCCCGCCCCCACCAACACTTGTCATTGGGGAGCGGCCCAGCAGTCCTGAGGACAGTTCCCTGGCAGGATGAGACACCGTAGAGGAGAGGAGGCGGTCACTTTGCGCGTGGCCTACAATTTCCACCAGGGTCACTTTCCAGGCTCCTCAGGAGGCCAGGTGTGAGAGCCGAGCCGTCCCGGGCACATGGGTGCATCCCGGCCGTCCTGGCCACTTCCTGGGTGCGGAGCAGCTGCCCTTCCCTCATCTGCCCGTGCCGCTCTCTCCACAGGAGTCACCATGAAGCTCATGGACGAAGTGGCCGGGATCGTGGCCGCCCGCCACTGCAAGACCAACATCGTCACCGCTTCTGTGGATGCCATTAATTTCCACGACAAGATCAGGAAAGGTACAGAACCGAGCGGGGGAGAGCGCGGCGCTCTGGGCTCCCTGTGCCTCCCATGCCATGCTCCCTGGGTCCCCGTGCCTCCCACGCCTGGGTCCCTGTGCCTCCCACACCACGCTCCCTGGGTCCCCGTGCCTCCCACACCACGCTCCCTGGGTCCCCGTGCCTCCCACGCCATGCTCCCTGGGTCCCCGTGCCTCCCACACCACGCTCCCTGGGTCCCCGTGCCTCCCACGCCATGCTCCCTGGGTCCCTGTGCCTCCCACGCCTGGGTCCCTGTGCCTCCCACACCACGCTCCCTGGGTCCCCGTGCCTCCCACGCCACGCTCCCTGGGTCCCCGTGCCTCCCACGCCACGCTCCCTGGGTCCCCGTGCCTCCCACACCACGCTCCCTGGGTCCCCGTGCCTCCCACGCCACGCTCCCTGGGTCCCTTGTGCCAGTGTGGTCGCCCGTGCCACGAGGGATGGGGAGGCGGAGTTGTGTGCTTGGTCCTCGCTGTGTGGGCGGGGCCGGTGTCGAGGGTGCTGCTTTGATGTTTCAATCTGGTGAAATGCACAGTGCGGATAGAACCAGGCCTCTGTCCTCCTAGAGGTCAGCACGAGCACACCGAAGAAGCCCCGGACGGCCCCAGGGAGACCCCTGCACGTGGCCGCCGTGGCTGTGGCCGCCAAACCTGGCAGCAGGCGTTTCGCGTGGCCTGGGGCAGGGGAGAGTCACCCACGACTCAGGCGGTGGTGGGGTCAACACAGAGAAGCCCACAGGAGTCCCTCTGTGGCCAGCCCTGCCCGCACCCCGGGGCAGCCTTGCTCTCGGGCTTCTCCCAGCACGCACCTCCAGGGTGCGCTGTTCGGAGGCAGGGCCTCCACGTGTGTCTCACAGTGCCCGTCCGCACGTGGAGGTGGGGTGGCGGTTCCTCTCTGGCCAGTCCCCTGGGGTGAGGCTCTGGGCCCTTCCTGCCCGGGGGAAAGGGCACCAGATCCGCCCGGCCTGGCGCCGGTCCTGGAGATGCTGTGCCGTGACAGCTCTTTGGAGGAGGTTGTCGGAGGCCGTGCCTGCTGGGGGGTGACGGGAAGAAATGCCATCCAGGCACTGTCACCATGTCTGGCCCACACAGGCCTTCCACCCACCTCTGTGGTCCCACAGCCCGCTGGCGGCTGGCTGGGGCACATTGGGAGGGTGAGGGTTCCCCCCGCCATAGCTGAGGTCACGGGGGACTTGAGCGGTTTGGGGGAGGGGAAGTCAGTAGGTGTGGCTCCCTTCCTGACGGAGAGGTGACTGCAGAGTCGCTGAGAATGTGCCCCAAGCACGTGGGTCTCACCTGTTCCAGCGAGACCTGCTTCGAGTGCCGTGTGTGTGGTGTGGCCCTCTGGTCCGGGCCTGTTTTTCTAGGACTCCTGCCTGGGGACTGTCCTGATGGCAGCCATGCTGTTATGCACACATCCAGAACCCACAGGGGAGGACACACCGACAGCCCTGACGTGCTCTGTCTGTGCCCCAGGTGTCCTGTGAGAACCGTGCCAGCCGGGTCCCCACAAGGCACCCAGGGCATGAAGCCAACCTTTGCTGGAGGCAGGGAAGCAGCTGGAAGAGGGGCACCCCCCCACCACACACACACATATGCACACGCACACGCATGTACATACACAGATGCATGCATGTATGCACATATACATGTGTGCACACATTACACATACATGCATGTGCATACACACATGCAGGCACATACACACATACAGGCAATACGCATGTACATACACACATACACGTGTACAAATACACGCATGCACACTGTATGTATGTCAGTAGAAGCGACTCACTCGGGCACAAGGGGGTCGGCTACAGTGCAAGTCGAGTGTTTTCTTCAAGATTCATTTATTTGAAAGACTTAGAGAAAAAGAAAGGGAGAGACAAAAGTGTATCTTCCATCTGTCTGCTGGTTCACCCCCAGATGGCCACAATGGCCAGGGCTGGGCCAGGCCTGGGGCAGGAGCCTGGAGCTCCACCCAGGTCTCCCACGTGGTGCAGGGCCTGAGCACTGGGCCGTCCTCCGCTGGTTTCCCAGGCGCATTAGCGGGGAGCTGGATTGGAAGTGGAGCAGCCGGGACTCCAGGCAGTGCCCGTGTGAGATGCCGGCTGTGGAGGCAGCAGCTTCACCCGCACCACGCCGCCGACCCCAGTGCTTTCTCTAGGGGTTAGTGTAGTGACCAGAGGACGGGGGCGGCTCACACAGGGAACCACTTGGGCGGAGCCTTTCACTTTTTAGAACACAAAGAAGCACCTGTCGTTTTTGGGAGCCAGAATTTATCTCTTTTTAAAAATGCCTTAAGTTCTGAAAAAAAAAATATTTTGACAAGCAGAGATAGACAAAGAAAGAGATGGAGACCTCTCTTCCACTGGCTCACTCCCCAGATGTCCAAGAGTGGGGAATTCAATCCAGGTCTCCCACAGGAGCGGCTGGGGCCCGAGTACTTGAGCCACACCTGCTGCCTCTCAGGGTCTACACTAGCAGGAAGCTGGAGTCGAGAGCTGGGACTTAAACCGAGCATTGTGCAGGAGGTGTGGGTATCCCACGCGGTGTCTGACCCACTGCACCAAAGGCCCACGTGGAGGCTGTCATTTCTGATGGGCGTTCACCTAACATCAGAGGCCTTCGGGCCGCCAGGGGAGGGCTGGCCGAATGGCCTTGCTTGGTTGCCACTGCCATGCAGAGCTGGCAGGAACGCTCCCCACCACCCCCACCTGGCCTCCCTCGGTGGCCACACAACACAGCCTTGGCCTTGATCTGTGCAGGCCTGGGGACCTCCGGGAGAGCATTTGGCTCCTTGTCTGGAGCACAGTGAGGCCGTCGTCCCAGGTGACACTGTGTTTGGACGTGAACTGAGAGAGCCGTTATGGATTCTGATCCGTTCCTGTGCCCGTGTCTTCCGCGGGCCAGTAGACACTGTCACACCTTATTTGTTATCTGTCAGAGGAGTGACACACTGGGGAGTCGTCAGCGCGTCCTCTCCAGAGCCTGCCCTGGTCTTCTCCCGGGAGCTGAGCCGCGGCACTGGCCTCTAAAGATTATTTTTAAATCAAGACAATTTTGTGGAAAAGGTGGCTGAGCACTCACAGTGTGGAGCCCGCGGGTACCATGGAGCTGTAGCACTGTCTGCAGCCAGTGCCTGCCAGGTTGGGTGGTGTCCGTGCTGCCTGAATGTCCCCAGCCACATCCTGCCCCCAGACAGGTGCCTGAGAGGGTCCCCTTCTTCCCTGGCCACCACACATGAGTAACCCTAAGTGGACACTTGTCCTCGCAGGAGGGGAGCCCCTACCTACCTCCTGAAAGCTGATCTGGCCCATAGAGGAAAGCCCAGAACTGAGACACGTGACTGCCCACGCGTTTCCATGGCTGCTGTCACGAGTCACACACACACAGCCGTTTCCTTATGGTTCTGGAGGCCGGAGCCTTAGAATGGACTCCCAGGGCTCTGCTGGGTGTGGAGGCTCCAGGGGGAATCTGTTTCCTTGCCTTTTCAGCCTTGGCTCACGGCCCCACCCATCCTCCATCTTCAAAGCTGGCCCCTTCCCCCCAGGTCTGCTCACATCCCAGTCATCCCTCCTCGAGGGTCTCCGCTTGCATGTGCTCCGTGAGGTCGCAGGAGTTGGGGGCTGTCACTCTGTCTGGCCTGCCTGCAGAGCGCGGTCTCAGAGAAACGGGCCGGGGGGAGAAGCGGACCTTTGGGGTGAGCGGCTTTCCCTGCTCTGAGGCAGGAGGGCCAGCGTGCGCTGCGGCCGGCCTCTCCTCAAACCACTTACTTGCAAGCGTGCCTTTCGTACCTGTGTTGGCCAAGTGCCAGGACACTGGCTGTGGCCTCTCCTGCCGCTCAGGGGGCAGGACCACCCGGAAGCCATCACATCGCCCAGATGTGAGAAGATAACTGTGCCAGGGAAGGACGCTCCCTGACCTCACTTAGCGCCATGGGGCGCTTTTCCCGGCTGCGCCAGGCCTTGCGAGTGGCCCTTTGGCCACCCCGGCTCTCCAGCAGCCCAGCACATGTGCTGTTTGCAACCTGATGCTTTGGGGATGCCCCTTGCTCTTGTCTGGGGCACAGGGGCCCCTCGCTAGCCACCCCAGTGCCCCCATGGTGCACAAGGTTCAGCCCGAGCCCCTCCGCCTGGCATCCCAAGTCCCTGGGGCCAGGCTGCCACCCGTCACAGCGGTCTTGCTCACCACCTGCGCGCCTGGGCAGGTGTGAGCGGGCTTAGACCCGTACCAGGCAGCTGGGACAGCAGAGGGAGCGTTTTATCTGTGAGACTGGCTCTTGTCTGACCTGGGGCCGCTGACCCCGTGACTCGTCAGAAAATGCATTCTGCCTTCACCAGGAACGGCGCGGGTGCCCCCGGGAGCCCCGGTGCCCGTGCCGTGGGACCTGCCCCTCTGCCAGGGCAGGAGGCCGTGCAGTCTCACGGTGTGTGTTTTCCCTTCACGCTTCACCCGCTCCATCTTCTGTCCAGTCCGGATGTGAAAACAGGAACGGTCAGGAAGTGAAGGGGACGCGGCTGAGCTTGGTCTCATGGTCCCGGGGCATTAGGTTACAAAAGCTATAGCTGGGGCCGGGATGTGGTGTGGTGGGTGAGGCCGCCACCTGCAGTGCTGGCATCCCGGCTGCTCCTCATCTAGTCCAGCTCCCTGCTGCTGCCCAGGATGGCCCAAGTCCCTGGGCCCCTGCACCCATGTGGGAGACCGGGAGGAAGCTCCTGGCTTCAGCCTGGCCCAGCCCCAGCCATCGCGGCCATTTGGGGAGTGAAGCAGCCGATGGAATCCCTCCCTCTGTATCACTCTGCCTCTCCCTCTGCGTCACTCTACCTTTCAAGTTTAAAAAAAAAAATCTTAGAAAGAAAGGCTAAAGCTGCAATTTTCTTCTGGAGAAATGATCACCCTGGACTATCAGGGTGAACAAATGAGGAATCTTGGGTTATGTCAGGAATGCCAAAGCCAGCCCACTGTTCCCGTTTTCCT